ACTGCACTCTCTGGGTACATGAAGTGATGGGTTGTTCTCATGCCGACATCCATCTCAAAGCCATCAATCTTTGCTCTGTTCATCCTAGGGGATAGTGGGAAGGCATGTCCCAAAATAAAGGTGCATGCCATGCCAGGTCCAGGCGGCTGGTCCCACTGGGCAGGGACACCAGGTCACCCTGGCCAACAGCAAAGGGGGACATGGGTGACACGGGGCTGGTGTGTGCCCCAAGGTGGGGGGCTCCAGGGAGCAGGGCCAGCAAACTCCCCTGCCATCACAGGGCTTGTGTTGATGGATTTCACAGGGTGGCCAGGGGCTGGGGCACACCAGGGTCCCAGGAAGACAGGGAGGGGCCAAGCCCCTTTGGGTCACCCACCTCAGCACCCAGTCGTGGGTGTCGATCTGCAGCCCATGGCCGGACCCCTTCAGCTGTCCCGAGTTCCCCACGACTGCACAAGTTCTGCAGTGAGATGGGTCCCACACGCCACTGGTCGGGGCCGGGAGGACAGTGAAGAGCTGCTGAATTATGGCCTGGAGCTGGACACCACTTGGGGGACCCTGCAGGGTCTGGGGGAGCAAGGGCAGCGACAGGCAGCATCAGCCCCCACCAGGACCACCAAAGGGGGATGGAGCCCTGCTCCTCCCAGTGGAGCCCAGCGAAAGGCACAGGAACACCCAGCGGGATATCAGGAAAAGGGTGCGGGACAGCCCAGAAGGGTGGGTGGGGTGTGGGTGGTGAGCTGATGTCCTTGCACCCTCTTTGTCCCCCATCACATCTGTCCAAATTGTCCTTGGCCCTGCCCCACCACAAACAGATTCAGGGAGCCCGGGAAGAGCTCGAGCTCCCGCCTGTGCCCTCACTCACCAGCCACCACTGAACCACGTCGGAGGGGAGCTCGTGGGATGCGCTCGTAAGCAGAGGCCCCACAGTCACGTTGTAGCGGGCGTTGAACCACGCGGAGCCGTTGGTGCCGACAGTGCAGCGGGCAGCAGCGGTGTCCAGGAGGGAGGGAGCCCAAGGGAAGGGGCTGAGGCCATCCGTGGGGGCTCGGAAACATTGCCACAGCACCAGCAGCAGGCACAGGACCAGCACCACCTGCACACGCCTCTGGCACTGCATCCCTCATGCCACCTGCAGCAAGATGGCACAGGGACCAGTGGCAGTGACACCACAGGACCATCCCTGCCCAACCTCCTGGAACACCCCTGACCCTGCAGGGACCTGAAATAGCCTGGCACACGGTTCCTTTTTGAACCGTTCAATGGCTTTATTGCTGTGCTCTGCTCCTGGCACTGCTGCAGGCACCCAGGGCCCCGCAGGGCCGGGCGGCAGCACGGGCTGTACCTGGTGCTGCTCTCTGCCTGCCACACTTCCAGGGTCTGCAAACTGACCCGCCAACAAGTGTTAAAGTGTTGTCACCCTGGCCACCAGCCAAACGCCAGCTCCCCCCCGGCACGGTCGCTGCCCTCCCCAGCAGTCCCCGTGTTTTGCATCTTCAAGGGCACCAAGTCATCATTGGGAGGAAGGAGCAGGAGGTGCTCACTGCCATCTGTGTGCATGAACCTTTCTTAACTACCCATATTTAAGTGACACTTCTGTTCTCTACCTAAACGCACTCATGTAAACCTAAAGCCAGAGGGAAAAGGTTTTTCTCATCCTCGGGGTGTTGATGAGGTGCTCAGCCTCTCAGGACCTGGCTCCCAGGAGCCAAAGTGAGAGTGAGGAGCAGGGCTGCGGGGACAGCCTCCATCCCAGGGTCAGAAGAGACTGCAGCAGATTTTGTGGAGATCCTCTGTACTGTGAAAGCTGAAGGAGAGAAAAACCCTGCTGTCCTCACAGGAGAACCCTGTGCTTCCTCCAGTCTCCCGGGTGCTGACTTGGACCCACAGGTCAGCACTGGCTTTGTTTTTCCACATTTAACCATTTTCTGCATCTCCTGCAGCACGGACGTACCTGCTCACCGTGGTATCCAACCAGCTGCACTCAAATCTGACCCACACCTGACAGCAAAACCGCTGCTCCTGGGGGTCTGAGCAATGAGCAGAGACAAGAGATGTGGAGCAGGGCTTTGGGTGATCCCGGGTGACCACAGCGGGTTGTGCTCCCCTGCAAGCCTGCCCTTTCTGAAGGCAACTGACCCGTCACCTCTTCTCGAAGGGAAGCACAAACAAGCCACCACCAGTGCACCGGAAACGCAGATGTGAGAGCTCCCAAGCAGGAAGCGGCCATGAAATGCCGGCTCTTCACCCCACAGACTCGGGGGGAACCCCAAAGGGCCCCGACACTCTGGGGCGGCCGCGGACCCCTGTGACTTAGTCTTTTCCCCTCCTGCAGCAGCTACGAGCATCCACCGAGACAGAGGCAAAGAGCATCCATCTGATGTGCCAGTCAGGCCAGGAGCCAGTGGTCCCCAGGGCTGGTTCAGGTTCTTGTGGAGCCTCAGGGGTTATTAAGCCACAGCCCATGGAGGGGGAAGAGCTGGCTGGGGACCGCGTGGCTGGCACCACCAGCCCCGTTAAGCCCACAGCCAGGGGACTCGAGCAGCACAGTGAATATCTCATGAAGCTTTTTGAAGTCACCTGTTGCTGGGGAGAGCTCTGGACTGGCAGGACTGAGCAGCCCCATCTCCCTCCCTGTGGCCATGTGCAGCCCCTGCTCCACAGACAGGACCCCTCCGCCTGCACCCACACCCCCACGGCAGCTGAAACACCCCCCCTGGCCCCATGCCCAGAGGTGCCCTAGCGTTGGAGTTCCCCAGCCCAGCACCACAAGCCACCGTGCCACAGCTGCTGCATCGGGTTGTGCCCAGTGGCCACAGACCTGTCCCTGTCCCGGCTCAGCCCCAAGGGACACTGCCAGGAGCTCCCCAGACCTGCAGCTGGGAAAGAGACCCTCATGGTGCCACGACGCCCTGGTCCCCAGCCAGCTGTCCCCAGGGTCCCTCACCTCCTCAGAGGAAGTCCTGCTGAGCAGTGCCAGGAGAAGGTGACGTTCCCAAGCTCGGTGGCCTCACCCAGTGCTCGTTGCAAGCTGCAATAACTGCCACAGGAAAAGGAAGTGTTGCACCATGACGTTGAGGGGAACAGAGTGGCACAGCAAGGTCAGGGCTGCCGTCCCTTCTCTGGTGGTGCCCACCACCCCGGTGTCCTGGCCCTCCCAAGCAGCCCAGACCACATCGGCCACCAGACCCACTGGAGCCAAATGTCCTGGCCACGTTCCCAGGGCCAAATCAGGAAATTCATCATTAAAATGTTTCTCTGAGGGTAGAAGCTGCCTGGAGTGGAATTGCCCTCCTGCCCTCTGGGTCCTGCTGGGACGGCTCAGTTTCTGAGCACAGACACCAGCAACACGGAGGTCTCCACAGCCTCATGCATCCAGCACCTCACCAGCTGGTTTCTTTTGCTCACCTGGATGGGATTTTTGGTTCAGAGAGAACAGAGGAAGGCTGTGAAATGTGCCTCAGCAACTGGAAAAACATAGCCAGTGCCAGTGGATAAAAGCCATGCGAGCTGCATTGTGAGTAATTCTATCCCAGGGGAGGTCAGTCCTCTTTGCTCTGATGCCTGCAAGGAGGTTTGGTGCCTGAGGGAGGGCAGCGAAGAGGAAAGATCTAGGAACTCAATCTAGAAGAGCCCTGTGAAATACAGAGCACCAAAGACTGGTATTTATTGGTGGCCTCTCCACCATTGCTGGTGGGCCAGGCATCAAAGGAGCAATGCCCTGAGCTACCACAGAACACATTTTCTGGAGCACAACCAGTGAATCCTGGGTGGGTGGGATTAGGGGTGGCACACTTGGAAGTGCTGCTGGCTCCACAGCACTCATTTTGCATTTTCAGGCTCCTGGGGTGCTCAGCCCTCAGCAGAAGCCCTTTCCCAGGGGTTTGCATCCAGCACGGCTCCACTTGCAGCTCCAGAGCCCCACAGGGCACAGCGCTGCTCTGTCCATCATCGTTTCCATCGGCACCAGCAGAGCAGGGAGCAGCACAGGCCAGGCAGGGTGGGAGGGCGCTCGGCCGCAGAGGGTACATACACCCCTGGTTACTGCATCTGGAGGTGACTGAGGCAGGAGCACATCTATAGAGCAGGTAGGTTGCTGTCTTCTCTCAGGTTGCCTGGCCAAGGGGGTCCTCTGAGACAGTCTGGCCACTGCTGGCAGCCCCTGGGAGGAGAGGGGTGGGGTGTGGGGACAGGGGTGGTTGGGCAGCAGAGGTGACAGGGGCAGCACTGGGTGAGCTGATGTTCCCAGCTCAGGCATCCCTGGGGCCCTCAGTGCAGACAGGAGCTTGGGGAATTTCATTTGAAGCAGTTGATCAGATCTTCTTTCTTGAATGGAAGCAGCTCCTACTCATTGAGCACGTGAACGAATGAAGCAGGGAAGGCACCTTGCCTGTGAGGCTCTCCTTCAATCCAGCCTTTCTGCGGGGAGAAGGGAAGGGAAAGGAGCCGTGAGCATGGCACAGGGACATGGGGGGAGGAGAAACTGGCCCCATAACAGCTGCCTTTGGTTGCCAAGGAAAAGGTGGAAGATGGAGAGACATGCAGAGCAGGAGATGACAACAGGTGTAACAGTCATGGGAGAGAGGCACGATATGGATGGAGAGGGGATCATGCACATCCCAGGGCTGGTCAGCGTAGGCAGGTTCACTCACCCACCAGTTGCTGTCCTCCTTTTCAGACACAACAATGATCTCGCCTGTGCGGAAAGTCAGCTCATCTTCTCGGTCAGCATCGCAGTCGTAGAGAGCACGGACCCTGCGGAGCACCGGTCTGTTCTGCAAGCAGGAGAGAGCTCCATCAGGCCTCCTCAGCTTCGTCAAACACAAACTACAATAGCTCTAGTGTCTTGATCCCAAAACCCCTGGCAAAGATGTGAGGAGCAAGGATGAAAGACTGGGAGGTTTCCTGTGTTGAGGGAGGGCAGAGGTGGCAGGTCACCTCCTGGGAGTTTGGATGGGACAGGGATCCAGAAGACACCTTCTTCTGCTGGAGCATCCTTCCAGAGGCACCTGCTCCTCTGCCCCAGGACTGCGGCATGTGCAGTTGCACTGTCTGGGGTCCCAGTTCTCTCAAGGCAGCTCTTTGCAAGTCAGCAGTGCTGCTCAGGACAACTCCAAGACCAAGCAACCCAAGTGAGGTCCCTCTAAGGAAAGGGCTCTTCCTCTGCACAGAGTCCTCAGGAAAAAGGGTGTCCCCTGGAGCAGAGAGAGGCAGGACCAGTGTGGACACTGCACCCTTGTCTGTGTCAGAAACTGCACCCTGACCTGCCAACAACCCTAGATCATTAACAAGGCTTCCCTCAAAAGGCCGTGGAGCCTCATGAGGATGTTGGTAGCATTCCCAGCACCCAGCAGGGAGATGTCAATGCCAGGGAGTCACAGCAGAAGTGCTGGGAGGAGAAGCTGCTGAGGCCAACTCCAGCTCAGTTCAAAACCAAAAGTGATAAATATGGGCAGATGTGGGAGCTGACCTGAGCTGATCCTGGCCACCTACCACACTGCTCCTCTGAGGAAGAAGAGGTGGGACATCCTGGGCATGGACAGAACATGGATCCAGCTCCTGGTGGGATCGATGGGGGCCAGGCTGTCCCACTTTGCTGGGGCCAGGCATGCAGAGGGGATCCGTGGCTTTCAGGGCATCTACAACACAATCAATCAGGCTGGTCATCTCTTCCCACCTTTCATCACAGGTGGACAACAGCAACCACCACTGTCAGGCAATGCAGCGTAGTCCTCCTCCATGGTACAGTGTGGACAACAAGCACCCCATCAGTCTGGGAGCTGGAAAGGGGACAGACTTGGGACAGGTTGGAAAGGGGCAGCAGGAGAAGGAGGTGGCATGACCAGGAAGCAGAAGGACATAGATTGGAGGCTGGAGTGAGAAGCATGTTACCAGGAGGTGGAAGATGGGCTGTGCAGCTCCAAGGTGCCCCAAGAGCTGCCAGCACCAGGGGAAGGATGTGGCTGCCATGGGTTGTGTGCTTGGCACCCTCTGCCCCCCCTCTCCCCCCCCCCCCCGTGCTCCTCATGCTGCTGAGCTCAGCTGCAATGAGGCTGTTTCCTAGAGGCACCTGGAGGCTCCAGCTGGCCAGACCTCCATCCTGGAGCACCCAGGGCTGCTCCGGGCTTTGCTCACCCCTTTGTCAAAAGGTTGTGTTGTGCAAGTCACTGCCTCAGCCCCCAGCCTGCCACCCTGCCTGGCTGTGGAGAGGGGGGGCATCCTTCTGCCATGGGGCACCCATGGAAACGAATCCACTGCCTGAAAGATGGGGACAGGGTCATTCCCTTCTCCAAATCCAGCGTCTCCAACAGCCCAGCAAATGCTACAATAACCCTGCTCTGGTGGCACTGGTATCTACCAGCCAGGGTGTGGGGAGCCTCATTCGTGGTCGGCTCTGGTCACGCTGCCCTGTGCTGCAGCTCCCACAGCTCTCCCAGCCCCATGTCCAAGCAGAGGCCTTGTGAGCCTGATCCATGAATGAGGCTCAGCCAAAAAAAGCCACAGCCAACCTGACCTAGTGCAGGTGCTGGACTGCAGACCTCCAGCAGGTCCTTCCCACCAGCACGGTCTGGGTCCTTGCCCCTCCTAAGTCTATTCACAGAGTCACAGAATGGCCTCGAGTGGAAAAGCCCTTTAAGATCATTGAGTCCCATCAGGAGCCCAACACTGACAAGTCTCCGACTACCCCATGTCCCTCAGCACTGTGTCTACACGACTCTTCAATCCCTCCAGGGATGGGGACTCCACCACTGCCCTGGGCAACCCCTTCCAATGCCTCAGAACCCTTTCAGCAAAGAAATTCTTCCTCACATCCCATCTCAACTGCCCTGGGCACAACTGGAGCCCATTTCCTCTTGTCCTGTCCCTTGGTCCTTGGTTGAACAGCCCCACCCCCACCTCTCTCCACCCTCCTCCAAGGGACTTGCACAGAGCCAGAAGGTCTCCCCTCAGCCTCCTTTTCTCCAGGCTCAACACCCCCAGTTCCCTCAGCCACAAGGGAACTCAGCACACTTGTGCTCCAGACCCTTCCCCAGCTCCGTTGCCCTTCTCTGGACACGCTCCAGCACCTCCATGTCCTTCTTGGGGTGAGGGGCCCAAGACTGAACCCAGCTCTCGAGCTGCGGCCTCACCAGTGCCCAGTGCAGGGGGAAGAGAACTTCCCTGGTCCTACTGGCCACACTGGTGCTGATCCAGGCCAGGATGCCCTTGGCCTTCTTGGCCACCTGGGCACTCTGTTGACTCATGTTCAGCCGCTGTCCATCAACACCCCCAGGTCCCTCTCTGCTGAGCAGCTCTCCCCCCACTCCTCCCCAAGCCTGCAGCTGCCGGGGGTTGTTGAGGCCAAAGAGCAGAAACCAGCATTTGGCCTTAGCGAAACTTATGGAATTGGTCCTGGCCCAATGATCCATCCTGTGCAGATCCCTCTGCAGAGGATCCAAACCCACCAGCACATCAACTCTGTTCTTTCATTACCTGTAGCCCAGCTAGTTGGGCTGGGCTGCTCAGGGCTGAGTGGTACCCAAGGGGCTGGCTCTGAGGACGTGCGCTTGTGCTTGATGCTCAGAGGTAGGGGTGGGCTCCTCCTGCTTCTTGTGTCCTCAGCAAAGACGGACGAGGTGGTAAGGGAGGGTGGATATGCCCTCTGGGGAGCTAAACAGAGCAAGATCAGTGGCCAGCAGTGAGCTGGTGCTGAGCAGGGCTCCTGGGGGTGAAGCTCCAGGGGACAATGGGCACAAAGGCACGGGCAGGGATTTTGTTTTCTCTGCTTTCAGGTCTGACTTAAGAAATGCATCGGTCTGGAAGCAGAGCTGGGACCAGCAGACGGGAAGTCAGGCAGGACTTGGTGAGTCTCCCAGAAAGCAGGGTGGCTCTGGGAAGTGGGACACGCAATGGGAACGCTGGACAAGGATGGTGGAAGCAATTCTTGCTAAGGAGCAGAACCGTGATGCTGCTGCTGTTTCTGCCGGCAGCTTTATCATCCCAGCCCTGGCTCTAAAGACGAGCTCCTCCACCTCTCCCAACAGCAGCAGCATTTGGGAGGGGATGGTGCATCCCAAC